ACTGGTTGGGTCTCCCCTAGCTTTGTCGTAATTACTCGCTCAGCTGTCAGTCTTCCCTGATAAGATGTCAGTTCCGTAAGGATAGGTACTAGGTCTGTCTGGTTCATAAATGCAACCCAAGAACATAGTGCTGGTTTTCAGTGGGCATTTAGCAACTATTTGTGGATAGATGAAAGTATATGGGTATGTGTATATGAATATGAATATATATGAAAGAGTAAATCAATTCATGAAAAATGGAATATAAAAGGAATTTATCCTAGTTATACGTCCTAAAGTCAAGCAGAAGTAGTGATTTGGTTGTTATGGAAGCTCAGATAGAAAAATGCACCTAGGGAGAGCAAGGACTGCAAAGATTGGGATGGACTTAAGAAACAAGGGAGTGAGAATCAATACAGTTATCAGTTTCATGAGAAGAACAAGTGAGAACAGCCTTTCAACTGGACAGAGAGTTAGAGTCTAAGAAACTCTGGGGTCTGAAATAAGGAGGAAAGCAAACAAGCATGGACAGTTTTAACAATGGCTGGGAGCTGACCATAGGCTCTTGGCCCTGTGGCAGGAATTCTGGGTACACATAGGGAATCTGAAGCCATTCAAGAGAATCAGGGCTAAGGGGCCTCAGAGACATGCAGGGCTGTGGGGATGTTAGTCAAGAGGAAGGCCCAATTGAGCACAGTGGCTTAATTGGCTGATCCTCACCATGCAAGCATGAGCATCCCATATGGGTACTGGTTCATGTCCCAGCTGCCCCACTTCCCATTCAGCTCCCTGCTTGTAGGCCTGGGAAAGCAGTAAAGGATGGATGGCCCAAAGCCATGGGACCCTTCACTCCTGTGAGAGACCCAGAAGATGCTCTGTGGCTTCAGATTGGCTCAGCTCTGACTGTGGCAGCCATTTGGGGAGTAAAGCAGCAGATGGAAGATCTTTCTGTCTGTCCTTGTAAACCTGCCTTTCCAATAAAAATAAGTGAATAAAAAAAGTCAAGAGGAAAAGAGGATACTATCACTCACTGTGCAGATAGGATTCTAGGATTAGTTAGAAGAAATATCCAGCAAGAAAGAGGGCCAAGAGAGCAGAACAGGAAGGAGCTTCAGCTTCAGGAAACCACTGTAATAGTGAATATCAGACAAAGCTCTGTTCAGACATTCCTTCCATGTTTTCAATAGCCGACTCAGACAAACACGAAGATTTCTACCCTCTTTGCATATGAGGAAACTGGCTCACAGAATTCGGTCAGCTTTCTGAGGATGCAGTGTAACAAATGGGCTCCACTTAGAGCAGCCTGGCCAATTCCTAACCTGTTCCACCAGATCTCAACCTGATCAGAACAATGTTTTTTTTTATATCTACTCTCCAGCCCCTACCCTCATCTGAAACTCAAAGTTAGGAGAACCTTCCATTATGGACTAGTATTAAAATAAAAACTCTAAGAACTTAAAAGTTAGAAAATATAAAATTACAGGACGTAACTTGTATAAACATATGTAAATCATAATCTATTTAATTAATATTTGCTCTTCACTGAATCCTGACCCTGTTCTAATTCCCAAAACACCTTGTCTGGCAGGTTTAATGATGTCCCTTTTCACAGATGAAGACGCTGAGGCCCAGAGTGGTTGAAGGATTTGCCCTCTCATAAGCTGTGAGAAGTGAAGCCACATCTGTCTGCCTGCGAGCCTGTGTTTTTTAAACTGTCCTGTCTCACCTCCTTTAAACAAAGACCCTCAATCTAACTGATGAGAACAACCCACACAGACAATTACAGAACAATGATATCCCAAACAATAGGGCATTCAGTTTAAGAGCTGGAAGAGCTATTTGTGCTGGTCTGGTGCTGACAGAAAAAAATGTTCTGTTGCTGGCATTTGAGCCAAGCCCTGGAGGAAAAGGAAGATGTGATGAGGGCTAATTGAAACAGTAAATGAAGCTAGAGAAGTAAGAACAAAAGCAGAGAGAAGGAGTCAGTGCAAATCTTGTTCCCTTGAAATGAAGGACTTAGATGAAGAGCAAATGGAAAATATGAGATAATTTGAAGGGAACATAAAGTAAAACTTGGTGAGTGATAGAATAGAAAAATCAGGGGAGGGAAAAAAAGAGAGATGGAGGCCAAGATTTCTTCACTGGGAAAGATGCGCCCTGGACAAAGAATAAAGTAGAACTGGGTTATGCACCTGCCTGTGCAAAATAATGTGTATGATTTTGTGAATGGGTGAATCTAGGAATAGGCCAGTTTAAAAATATATATATATATATTTTGAAAGGCAGATTTTACAGAGAAAAGGAAACACAGAAAGATCTTCCACCCAAACAGCCACAGTGGCTAGAGCTGAGCTAATTTAAAGCTGGGATCCAGGAGGTCTCCCATGCTAGCACTGGGTGCTAAGGCCTTGAGCCATCCTCCTCTGATTTCCCAGGCCTTAAGATCAAAAGTGGAACAACCAGAACACGAACTGGTGCCCATGTGGGATGCTGGTACAGCAGAAGATTAGCTTTCTGTGCCATCACATCTACACAGCAAGTTTTTTGTTTTGTTTTATTTTGTTTTTTTAATTTGAGAAACAGAGACAAAGACAGAGACCATCCTTTGGTTCACTTCCACAGATACCCACAGCAACCAGGATGGAGTCAAGCTAAGCACACAGCATTTATCTATCTATCTATCTATCTATCTATCTATCTATCTATCTATCTATCTATCTATCTATGAAGTTTGAGTTGTAGAGAGAAAGGTACAGGGAGAAAATAAGATTGACCCTCCATCTGATGGTTCATTCCTCAAATGGCTGCAATAGATAGAGCTGAGCTGAGCCACGCCAGTCAGGAACATTGTCTGGGTCTCCCACATGAGTAGCAGGGGCCCACCTTGAGTCATCCTCTATTGCTTTTCCCAGACCATTAGCAGGGACCTGGGTTGGAAGTAGAATTACTAGGACTGGAAGCAAAGCCTAAATGGGAGACCGGCAATGCAGGGAGCAGTTTTACCAGCTATGCCACAAGGCTGGCCCCCAACACATGAGCAGATTCACCACTAGATTAAATGTTTGTCCACCCCATACCCCATCAGTGATTTTCAAGAAAGAGTTCCCTTGCTAAATGAATATATACTACTGATTAAGCCCATTTTCTTGCTTTATATCAAAAAGGGAGAACTTAAATTCTGACAAAAAGAATGGATTTGTCCAAAGTCATGTATCTTACTAATACTTCAGCCAATGCTAGAACCCATTGGTCAAAAAAAAAAAAAAAAGAATACATTGGTTTTGACTCCTACCCAGTCTGGTAAGCACCAGGCTTACTTGGCTTTGAAAAAGAAAACTGGTGGCTAATTTATGATATCAAATGCACAATGATGAGAAAAACTGAAGAAATCAGATCTGACATTAGTGCTAAGGATGGAGTTCAAAGGGGCAAGACTAACCCCTCCAATTAAGAGAAATTTAGAATGGGATAGCACTGTGGTATAACAGGTAAGGCAATTGCTTACAACACCATCAACCTATATTGGTGCCTTCCAGCTGCTCCACTTCCAACCTAGCTCTCTGCAAATGCATCTGGGAAGGCACTGGAGGAAGGTCCAGGTCCTTGGGTCTATGTACACACTTGGGAGACCCAGATGAAGCTCCCAGCTCCTGAGTTTAGCCTGGTCCAGCCACAGCTATTACAGCCATTTAATGAGTGAACCAGCAAATGGAAAAGCTCTCTCACTTACTCTTTCTCTCTCTGTATAACTTTGCCTCTCAATTTTTTTTTAATGAAAAGAAATTTGGAATGAAGGTGAGAGAAAACTTTTGGGTCCTCCTCTTCCTGCATTTAACAGAATCACAGGATATTTTTCTTTAGCCAAGCTGAGGGTTATGAGAAATTAGCCAGGTTGCTATAGCAGGAGCCCAGCAATAGTCAGGACCAGCCCAAACAGACTCTTTTTTCTTCTCTCATTGTGTCTTATGGGCAGAGTTCAGGGAACCTTGTCCCAGAGAGAAAATGGAAAAATGAAGAGTGATGAATGGGATCTCATACTCAGATGCTACTGAAGCTACGAGCCACACACAGGCATGCAGACAGAAATCCAGCCTGCGATCTGCCTGCATCCATAAAAAGCCAGCTCATAAATACAGCAATTCATGTCAACCTATCCACAGGCCCAGGCTCATGACACAAACCATAGCTGCATTCGTTCCTTCCAGCCATAGGAATCTGACTCATGTCACACAAACTGTTTGCTAATCTGCATCCTTCTCAGCCAGTCTTCATTTAGCCTTCTTCTCTGTACCTTAGTGAAATCTCTGCCAGTGTGAAGCACAGCTAGGGAGCTCTTCAAGCAATGTTTCCCAGGCCTTAGGGCTCCTGGGGCTACTCACTTTAAAACAGACAAACATGGGGCAGCATTGTGACATAATGGGTAAAGCTGCTGCCTTTGATATCAGTATCCCATACGGGATGTCCTGGATGTTCTACTTACAATCCAGCTCTCTGCTAATAGTCCAGAAAAAGCAGTAGAATATGGCACAAGCACTTGGGCCCCTGCCACCCATGTAGGAACTGGAAGCAGCTTCTGGCTCCTGGCTTCAGCCTGTCCCAGCGCTAGCCATTGCAGACATCTGGAGAGAGAACCAGTAGACAAAAATTCTGTGTTTCCCTCTCTTCATAACTCTTTTAAAATAAATAAATCTTAAAAAAAAAAAAGGCAGCTAAGAAACAGTCAATACTCACCCCCTGGTCAGCAAAGACCAATGCAAAGCATTTCTTTTCTCTTTGCTTCAATCTCCCTTCCTTCCTTGTCTTTCTCTCTTGTTCTCTGTCTCTCTTTCTTTGTTTTTTGGGTTTTTTTTTTCTCCCTTTATAAATCTCCTTTTTCTTCTAAGCTTTGCTTTTCCTGCACTGGGACTCCTGAAGGACAGATCAGAGCTCCAGCCCCAAGAAACGGAAAGCAGGAAGGCACATCCTCTTCCTACCACCCTGTCCCACCTGCCACTTTCTCTGTCCCACTCAGGCTTCTCAGGATGAATGTCACTCGTCTGCTCCTGGCCACCCTGCTCGTCTTCCTGTGCTTTCTCACTGTCTGCAGCCACCTGGCACTTGAGGAGAAACCCAGAGATGACCAAAGTCTGAGGTGCAACTCCTCCATGAACTTACTGGATTTCCCTTCTGTCTCTATCGTGGGTAAGTATGCTGACCTGTGACCCAGCCCTTGAGAAGGGGCTGCAGGGCATCAAGCCTGCTCCCCAAGCTGCTACCAGGACCCACTGCCCAATGTCATTCTTGAAATAATCATGGGGGAACAAATTATCCCTTGACTCCTTTGGTGTGGGAAAGCTGCATGCCACCAATCTAGTACGTGGTTTAGCCTCTAAGCTGAGATGAACTTTGTGTGCAACTTAACATTTCTGAAATTTGTTGAACCACAAAACTCCTACCAAGGATAATAAATTTTAGGAAATGCTTCCTCATTGCTGCAGAATAACCAAGTCTGAGACAAGCCAGTCCTGCCCTGTCAGGGTTGAAAATGACTGCTCCAGGGAAAACATGTGGAGCATTAGAGCCTGGCCCTGGAGATCTGCTTTGACTTTACCTGACAGTAATAGAAATACTGTGAGTTATTATGTTTATTCATATCTCACAGTTGAGGAAATTGAGGGCTGAGAAAATTAACTAGCACAATATCACACAGGTCCTAATTGGCAGAGCCAAAATTCAAACCAGGTGCTTACATCTGGAACCTAAGCTTAAAAGTGTAGTATCCTTTGCCGCCTTGCCCCTAGCAGGAAAAGAGGCTATTCTGGATAATATTGGGACTAACTGCAGTGATTAGCTTCAATATGCTAGACATTTGGCTTCATAAGCAAACTTGATTATCCTCAAGACAGTCCCACAAGGTGAGTGTTACAGATGCTTTTACAGGCGAGAAAACTGAGTAACAGGTTAAGTGGGTTACCTGAGGCCACATGAAGGTTACATGGCACGATCAAGGATTCAAATCAGGTCTGCCTTGCTCCAAGTTCTGAGAAGTAGAAAATAGAAGTATGGAAGCACAGGGACATAATGTGTAAAACCCTGAGTTCATTTGCAGTATACCACAATTTATTTACTTATTTTTTTATTTTTATTTTTTTTGCACCTGACAGACCCAACACGAAAGGAGATCTTTGAGTAGTTCTGAATAGCCCAGGGCCAACCAGGTAAAGGGACAAGGCCCCTCAGGGATGCCACAGGCAGACGCCAGGACCTCCTTGGGGCCTGTGCCTTCCCTCAGGAGACACTGTGCTGTCAGTCTCTGACTCCAGGTCAGCAGCCAGCTCACAAGAACCTGCTGGCCTGAGCCCCAACATGTGATTAACCCAGGCAGTCCCTCCTTTTCTCCCCTATCCTGAAGCTTCCTGGGGCCCCCTCTGCTCCTCCCACTTTGCTGCAACCCAGAGCCTCTAGAAACATCTGGTTTTGTTCCTCCTGTCTCTCTTTGAAGCGCTGAACAAGAAATCTAAAATCATCAGCAGAAAGGAAGCGGAAAAGAAGAAATCTTCCAAGGTAGGCCCCGGGAGTTCTCTGTGAGAGTGGGACCGTATTTAAAAGGACAGGGCTCAGAAACTCTGGCTGAAAATGAAGAGATTTTGTCCAAAGGGAGAGTTACCTGCAGGCTTTCTGAGGCAGATCTGCCCACAGAAGCCCAGGGAACTGACACACATGAACGTAGCTTACGTGCTGAAAGAGCAGCTTCCCAGACTAACTAGCCGCTTGCTGAAATTTCACTATCACTCTTTCCTTGGATGAATGCAGTATTTCCAAAAAAAATCAGTCATTTCGGAACCATTTGCACAGTTTTTTTTTTTTTGCCATTGTCTGCAGCTGGCATTTAAATCAAAATTTTTAACTATATTCATTACTATGATAGGAAACCATTATTCCTTGCCATAAAGAGAAGATAGCTTTAGAAATAAATAAGGTGAAAATAAAACAGTGAGTTCTGCTGGATGGTATTGCCTGAGGCAGAGGCCTGCTCTCTGCGGCAAAGGTGAATCAGTGCCCGAGAGGCCATTCAGGACACCCTGGCACCCAGCTGAACCTTTACACTGAAAGAGATCCAAATAAGAATTCTTTCTTCACATAAAAGAATCAGAGGGTGTTGGCATATCACCTAAACTCACACCGTGGTAATTCAGGCTTCCACACCTTAACAAGCCCTGTGGATGGACGCATTATGGAGACACATACATGATTCCTGCTTTAGTGTGACTTTGTTTGCCAGATCAACTGCAGCCAGAGCCATGAGTACAGGACCAGGTACTGGGAGGTAGGACCTGAGCTGGACAAAGTCCCTGCTCTTCTCTGGGCTGGTTTAGCTGGCTCTCAAGTGAACAAGCAGATCGAATGACTAACAGGTAAGAAGAGGAAGGGTGCTTTAAAAAGTTCACAGAAAAGTAGAATTTAAAATATGAGTTTATACTGTTGCCAAAAGAAAGTCTCATATATGGACAATATATATCATGAAAAATATCAACACATGAAGTTCCAAAATGTCTTTCCTTTCAGTTCCATTTTTCCATGAACTTTTCGAAGCACCCTCATAGAATGACAAATATATTTGCATGCTACACATTGGGAATGTAGCAATGAACGAGAAAGAGATCCTTGCTTTTGGAGTTATTCCTGTGGAGATAGCAGGTGAATAGCTAAAATAAATTCTGATGATAAACGCTGTGAAGAAATCAAAATGTGGTCATGAGGGAGAGAGAAGTGGCAAATGGGTAGGAAATACTTTTCTAAAAGCAGCAGCTTTTGAAAGCTAAAAATCTCAGTAATGTTCAGTAGAAATACACGGAGAGCTACAATTCTTAATTTCCAAGCAGCCACATTTTTAAAAAGAAAAAAAATGCAGTTAAGTTTAGTATTTTATTTATCCATTTATCCCCCAAATCAGCAAATCAATATGTAATCAAGTTTAAGTTATTGGAATATTTTTATGCTAAGTCTGAAATACAGCATATGTAATTGACACAACACATCTCAATGTCAATGCTAAATTTTCAACAAAGTAAAATGCAGTCTTCACCAAGCAATAAATTTGTGTTAAGTGGGAAAAGATTTTCACACTGCTTCGGCTTTAAATTTTAAACTTAAACCCAAAAGTAAATAAAACTTAAGATTCGGTTTCTCCGTGGCACTAAACACACTTCAAGGTCTCAGTAACAGAGAGGGCTTGTAGCTGTTCACGCGGGACACCCAGCAAGGACTGTCCCCAGGCTTGCAACAGCAGGAACTCTTGCTGGAACACCAAAAGGCCAGCGGGGCCACCAGGAGGCAAGTGGGAGAAGTGGCCAGGGGCCAAGTCACGGGTCCCTAAGGCCAAAGAAAGTTTATGTTTCAAATGCAAAAAGATTGTGGGTGGGGTATGGAAGGATACAACCATAGGTCTTAGAAAAGGATCGTTTAAAAAAGAAAAGGTTCCTTTGGCGCCCTGGCGCATGTGTAAGAGGCCAGAAAGGCAGGAGAAAAGACCTGGCCCCGCGGTGGAAGTGAATTGGGTAGACTGAGGAGCCAACAAAGGACCACAGCGATAATAGTTAAAAACTTTGGAACTGAGTGGGGTCCTCCAGAGAGAGAAAGGGGCCAGCTCAGCACCAGATAAATTCGGATGATAGAGGCAGGGAAACTGGACTTGGGGAAGCCCGCAAGGATTTGCTGAGCTGCCCCTGTGAAGGTGGGCATGTCCAGTGGGAAGCCTCCAATGGAGTAGGAGTTCCGAGGCGAAGATGAAGACGGGTGGGCGTGCGTGGCCGTTTCGGGTAGCCCGGCCGTTTCCCCTGCAGAAAAAAGCTGCGATGAAGAAGGCGGTGAGGCCCCGGCCCCCGATGCCTGCGCCCTGCGTGGCCACCCGCAACAGCTGCAAGCCACCAGCGCCCATCTGCTGCGACCCGTGCGCCTCCTGCCAGTGCCGCTTCTTCCGCAGCACCTGCTCCTGCCGCGTGCTCAACCCCAACTGCTGAGTGCACACCTCCCCGCCACAGCAGGGGCAGCGCCTGCGGGGGTGGAGTTTGGGGAGGGGGCTGCCAGGGACTTGGGGGAACGCTTCTGGGGCAGCGATTTCTAGTTAGGGAGAGCTTTGTAGTGTAGGCACGGGCGTGGCTACTGAACATTAGTGTGGAGCTTTGAGGAGACAGACCAAGAGAGGACTAGGCTCCCGCTACAATAGAAATAGAGCATGTGTAAGCTATACGAAGGTGTGTGGCAGTTTCTTTAAAAGACCTGAAAGTGCTCAGTCTTTTTTCCGGCTTCCCATCAATACAAAAGCCTCACGGGTTGTGCACACACACTACCCTTCCAGAGGCTGATGCTGAAATCCCTACAATCCCACAACAGTGTAATTGGTTGGCTGCATCCAGTGGCTGGAGGTGATGTTCCCCTACGCTTAAGCTCAGGAACATCCAAGGCTGGGATGCAAACCAGCCAAGCAGACAACACCCTATTAGTAACCTCCACCTCCTCCTCCTCCTCCTCAGGAGCTCCCCTGGCTAGCACCCAATCATCCCCACCTCCAGAAATAAGAATTACAGCTGGGCTGTGAGACTGGAACAGGTGTGCTGATCAGGGCAGGCTGCTGGCTGTAACTGGCCTTTTGCTGCAGGTCCTTCAAGCCACAAGGTTCTGGGCTGAGCATCCTTGCCCCTTAGAAGGCTCCCACAGCAAAAGCATCACTTGCCCATCACATCCTCTCCACCAGGAGCTCCCAGAGATCTGGGTCCAGGGAAGAGTTGCTCCCATGTCAGACTACGTAAACACTGATTGTTGGAGTTCAGGCTCTCAAGAAGGAAGCCCAGATTGGGAGATCCTTTCTCTCTCCTCTCCACATCTGCCAGCCAATAAGGAGGCTTGTTGAGTAGGCAGCAACTATTGAATGATCAGAGACCTGTTGTAAAAATGTCCCTAAACTGCTTCTGGAAATCCCACCCTTAAGCAGTATCATTGGAAGGATCCGTGAGAGGGAGAGTACATGGCATACTTCTTGCTCTGCTTGGCTGAGGCATCCCTGCAGGAGAACGAAGGCTGAGAAGGTGCCACCTGTCAGCACCCCCTGGCAGCTGGGGCTCTTCCCTAAGAAGTCACTGTATAAGTAGGAGCTGAGAGATATAGACAGTGATACAAGACAACAAGAAAGGCCTGTGCTGAGAAAGGTTCTAGAGAGGCTATGAGACAGAAAGCAGTGTGGGCAGGACAAACACTGTGGCATAGTAGTAGGCTCATAGTGCTTGGGCCCCTTGTACCTATATGGGAGACCCAGAAGAAACTCCTGGCTCCCATGTAGTCCAACCTTGGCCATTGCAACCATTTGGGGAGTGAACCAGCGGCTGGAAGATTCTGTTTTTGTGTCCCTCCTCTTCTCTAACTCTGCCTTTCAAATAAAACAAAACAAAACTTGGTGGAGCAGTTACCTCAGCCCTGGTCATGACTTTATATCTCTGTCCTTGGAGGTGGGGACAGTGGAATTCAGGATCTAGCACAAGTGGGGTCACCTCCTTGGACCCACTTTCAATCTTCCATCTTTTAAAAAGTCTTCCTCCTCTCCAAGGACCCAACCAGATACCCAGACGGTGCCTGTGGTGGCACAGCCAGTGTGGACAGGATGAGGTAAACAGGCATTTTTGGATGGAATGGAGTAGCAACCACCGGACATAGCACAGGGAGAGACAATGAGTGCCCCAGGCAGAGCTGTCAACACAGCTCTGCACACAGGGCAAGTCTTTATGTCTCCCTGGGCTGCCATTGTCCTGTCTATAAAATGGGAGACAAGCATTCCTGCTGTTATTATCATACACACAAGGTAAGTGCTGTTTCTCTGCACCCTAACATCATACACATAGAGAAAAGCTGCCTGTTGCTTGCTTTGTTTTCTGTCAGATCACAAGCCCACAGGCAAGAACTTTTTGTTCCATGTACCACAGCTAGCTGCTGAGTCCATGTCATTGGTAATGAGAATGTGGGGAACATATTGCAGCCAGCGTCCTTGTGTTTTCCAGACCCTGTTCTCAGGCACCATTTGGTCCCCAGAGATGAGACTGGGGGACACAAAGACTCAGTCCATTCCTAAAAAAGTTGCTTTGTTGCAGGGCCCAGATAGCCACAGGAAAGACCATCCCATTCATTCAGTAATTACATGTTGAGCACTACATGGCAAGTGCTAAGTACATAATATAGTGAAGAGCCCTGGAAGGATCCTCTTCCCCATGGAGTGTTGGCATTAGTGAGCATCACTCCTGGTCCTTTTCACAGGCCAGGCCCATTTTCAGCATACATAGTCTAGCCCCACAGACTCAGACAGCTGTCTGCCCAAGTCCTATCCCACGCACAGAGTGAAGTCCATCCTAGAAAGCCTTGTTCTATCTTTCTAACTATAAATCTGTACCAAAGTCCTCATAATGTAACTGCAGACAAGTCACTTTTAAATTCCCGTTTTATTTGAAAGAGCGATCTTCCATTACTAGTTCACTCCCCAAATTCCCACAGCAGCCAAGAGTGGAGCAGGCTGAAGCCTGGAACTCCCTCCTGGTCAGAGGTTGGCAGCAGGTGGCCAAGTCCTTGAGCCAGCATCTGCTGCTCCCCAGGATGCACGTTAACAGGAAGCCGGATCAGAAGCGGACTCCCTGGAACAACTCAAACCACGGGAGAGGGGAGGATTGACTGTAGCACAGGGGGACATGTAAGATAGAAGACTAGACAGACTGCTTAGAATGTCCTCCTTAACTGAGCATTCCAGAATTGTGGCTTGTTCATTTTGAATTCTCAGCATCTAGCTGTGAGCTGGTGTTACTGCCACGTTACCAATGGGAAAAGGGGCTCAGAGAGGCTGTGGCATCACCCAACATCCTACTGCTAGAGTGACACCGGAACTCCACTCAGGTGGGTCTGAGTCCAGGGCCAAGTCAGATCAAGCACTGCCTCTTCCCGGGTGCCTTCCTCCCACTGCTACCAGGCACTGAACTATAAAACTGGGCAGAAAAAGTGATGTACTTGCCTTCTCTTTAAGCTTGCAATCCCAGCCAGGTGGGTCAGGTCTCCAACACCCCAGCATCTCCATTAGAGCCATCCATGGGGAATGAGAAGCCTGAGAGAAGTCTCTAGATACCCTTCTCAGGTGGGTTCTTTTTCGATTTCCAAGATCAGAAAGAAGGTTCAATAAATAACCACTTACACAAGTAAAAGGGAAACCTACTTCCTACCCATCTTCTGGTTTAAATTATGATGAAGCCTCTGTGAGAATACAGGAAAGGTACCTCTGCAAATCTCCATTCTCATAAAATTACTGTATTACTAGGATTATTATATGAATAAAGTAAGCCAACTAGAGCTCCTGGTGCTTATTAATATACCACGATATACTGGATCAAGCCAAACAAATCATTAAAAATTACATGGGGGCCCGGTGCAATAGCATAGTGGCTAAAGTCGTCACTTAGAACTCACCAGGATCCCATATGGGTGTCCATTCTAATCCTGGCAGCCCCACTTCCCATCCAGCTCCCTGCCTGTGGCCTGGGAAAGCAGTGGAGGAAGTCACAAAGTCTTGGGACCCTGTACCCATGGTGGGAGACCCAGAAGTTCCCGACTCCTGGCTTTGGATTGCCTGAGCTCCAGCATTGTGGCCTCTTGGGGAGTGAACCATTGGACGAAGATCTTCCTCTGTCTCTCCCCTTCTCTGTATATCTGCCTCTCCAATAACAATAAAAATATGAACAGGAATACTAAGCAGGCAAATGGAGGTGGGCATAGTGGCTACTTAGGACATCTGCATCCACAGGGGATATGCCTGGTTTGAGACCCCAACTACTCTAGTTTCTGGATCTAGCTTCCTGTTGATGTGCCTGGGAGGAAAAGGGCGAGCATGCAAATACTTGAGACCTTTGTACTAACAAGGGAGACCTGCACAGAGTTCCCAGATCCTGGCTTCGGGCTGGCCCAGCCCCAACTGCTACAGGCATGTAGGGAAGTGAACCAGCAGATGGAAGATGATCGCCCTCCCTCACTGGCTTTTCAAAGACATATATAATTTTCTTTGAAAAAAAATTAGGGGGGCCCGGCGCGGTGGCGCAAGTGGTTAAAGGTCCTCGCCTTGCACGCCCGGGATCCCATATGGGCGCCAGTTCTAATCCCAGCAGCCCCGCTTCCCTTCCAGCTCCCTGCCTGTGGCCTGGGAAAGCAGTCGAGGAAGGCCCAAAGCTTTGGGAACCTGCACCCGCATGGGAGACCCGGAAGAGGCTCCTGGCTTCGGATCGGCATAGTATCGGTCCGTTGCGCTCACTTGGGGAGTGAATCATCAGACGGAAGATCTTCCTCTCTGTCTCTCCTCTCTGTATATCCGCCTTTCCAATGAAAAATAATAAAAATAAATCTTTAAAAAAAAATTAGGGAAATACATAAAGGATGATTATAATAATTATAATATGGGTTAAGCTTACCCCCATGAAATTATTACAGATTGAATTAAAAGCAGGTTATTTGGGGGCAGGTGTTGAGCAATTAGGATGCTGCTCTGGATCCTCATATGCCATACTGGAGTCCCTGGGTCAGACGCTTGCTCTGACTGCTGGTTCTAGATGAGAGCTTGCTTATCTGCCCTATCCCCCTTATCTCAAATAATAAAAGACTGATAACTTCTTTTTTTAAGATTTTATTTTTATTGGAAAGGTGGATATACAGAGAGGAGAGACAGAGAAGATCTTCCGTCCGATGATTCACTCCCCAAGTGAGCGCAACGGCCGATGCTATGCCGATCCGCAGCCAGGATCCTCTTCCAGGTCTCCCACACGGATGCAGGTTCCCCAAGCCTTGGGCCGTCCCAGACTGCTTTCCCAGGCCACAAGCATGGAGCTGGATGGGAAGCGGGGCTGCTGGGATTAGAACTGGCGCCCCTATGGGATCCCAGGCGTGCAAGGCGAGGACCTTAACCACTGCACCACCGCACCGGGTCCAGACTGGTAACTTCTATTCAGGCTGTTTAGAAGACACTTACCTGAGTTCCCTCTTCCTTTTCTTCTAAGCCTGAACAGGTACCTACCTGCCACCCTTATCACCCCACACTGCAGACAACCCTTTGTCTTGGCAAGGCTTCCTCAGTACATGAGCACAATACCCATGCCTAGTTAGTAACATTATCTATACAATAAAGTCTCAAAACTCTTTCAGGCACCAGAATTTTTATTTACCCACCTTCCTGCTTTCTTTGAACACTTTACACATTATATATAAACACTACAACCCAGGGTTATGATAGGAACCATATTACAAAGTGATGGCAGATCTATGCCTGCTTTTATGTTTTTCTGGCCCCTCTCAACCACTGGCCCTCTCTTACAAGGGTTATTTTAACCCCTATAAAATTAAGACCAGTAAGGACTAAGCTCATTCATTGTTCTGAGGTTTCTGATGGCCCAGCACTGAGCCAGGCTCTCAAACACTCAGGTGTCAACAGCTCCTCCTTGCTCTTTGATACAGTTCTTTTTCTTCTACCATGGACTGAGGAATCCGTGAACCTGTCAGCTAAGCATGTGGGTCTAACATGATAGTCCAGGTGAAGGCCTCTCTGGTAAAGTGCATGGGCCTTGTAACCACCATCACCAATTTCGAAGGCCTGACGAAGCAGTTCTAAGACCCCTGGGTTCATGGTTTCCTACAGATGTTTCCCTTGTATCTCCATCATGACCAGGGCTTAAGGAGGAGCCTCTCAGTTCCCTGTGCCATACTTGGGATAACAGGAGGAGTGAGGAAGGCAGAGGCCCAAGGCTGAGTGGGCAGCCCCAGGGAGCCGATGGGGGACATCACTGACAAACCAATTGCAAACAAGGTGTCAATGGCTCTTAGGGAGGAGAGGGAGCCCTGGGCACTAGAAGGTGAAAAGCAGGCATGACTGTCAGTAGCGGTAATGGTCAGGCTTGAAGGGGCCGTCACGGGACATGCCCAGGTACTGGGCCTGCTTCTCAGTCAGCTTGGTCAGCTTCACGTTCAACTTGCTCAGGTGGGCTTCAGCCACTGCCTCATCCAGCTGTGGAGAAACGCAGGAAAACCTCAAGTCAGTGCCATGCCACAGAACCCCTTACCTGCATTCAGCCACCAGTTCAGCACGTTTTCACTTATTCACTCTTCCAGCCCCTGTAGGCTTGTGGGTTTGTGAAGGAGGCACTGTTGCCTTGGTTTTACAGATGAGGGAATGGAAGGGTAGAAGCTAAATAACCTGCCCGGGTTACACAGTCTCTAAGTGATGAGACAGATTCATACTCTGGTTTCTCCCTCTCAAGCCTCTGTTCTCATCACCCAGTCCTGCCACTTGTGACTGCGTTCCCAGGAGTCTTTCTCCTGTGGGATTGTTAGCTCCTATTAGCTCCTCTCCATTCTCAAATGTAGAGAATGATTTCAGCAATACAGAGGCCCTTATGATGCCAATAGGCAAGCACTTCATAAGCTCTCACAAGCTCTTCATGGAGAGTTCACGGCCAGTCACGTGGCCCTTGGCTTGAGGTGGAAGTGAAAACTCACCTTCTTAGGCAGGAAGTGAACGCCAACAGCGTACTTGTCGGGGTGGGTCCACAGCTCAATCTGTGCCAGCACTTGGTTTGTGAACGAGTTGCTCATCACAAAGCTGGGGTGGCCCATGGCACAACCCAGGTTGACCAGCCGGCCCTCAGCCAGCAGGATGATGCGACGACCATTCTTCAGCAAGTAGCGGTCTACCTGCAAGTGCAGAGCTACAGTGAGGGCCAGCAGGACACTGCTCCCATACAACAGCAACTTTACCATATAAAGCTTACCTGTACCCATGTAATACCTCCAGCAAGCCTGGCTGGCTTTGGAACAGATCAGATACCTTCAGCCTGGTGCTGAAAGCAGGTCCTCCCTCCCTCATCCTCTGGCCAGGTTACAACAGCTACCTTACCTGCCCTCCTTAGGGGACAGCCCACGAACAGACCCCTCCTCAGTTTCTATCTGCTACCCTGCTGGCAGGGCTGGGGCTTCTTACCTGGGGCTTGATGTTCACCTTCTCCACAGCATTCTCATTGAGCCACTTGACGTCAATCTCCACATCAAAGTGTCCAATGTTACACACAATGGCATCATCCTTCATCTGCTCAAAGTGCCTGTGCAGGAAACCCATTAAGGCAAAGAACAGCACAAAGTGTGCCCTTTCCTTGCCACCCCCCACCACCCTGCCAGGGCTTCTACCTAGTACCTACCGCCCAAGGATGATGTCCACACAGCCTGTGGTGGTGACAAAGATGTTGCCCTCTTTACAGGCTTCATCCATGGTGGTCACTTCATAGCCTGTGTGGACAGTGGGCATGGGTTACTTTGTGTGACCTGGTCTCTCCCCTGGCCCCGGCAGCTGAGAACCGACCCTCACCCTTTCATACCCTCCATGGCAGCCTGCAGTGCGTTGATGGGGTCGATCTCGGTGATGATGACACGGGCCCCAAAACCTCTCAGGGCCTGGGCACAGCCTTTGCCCACGTCTCCATAGCCTGCTACCACTGCCACCTTGCCTGCGATCATGACATCTGTAGCCCGTTTGATGCCATCTATGAGGGACTCCCGGCAGCCGTAGAGGTTGTCAAACTTGCTCTGAAAGGATAGGGGACCAGTGGGCACTGGGCACAAGCAAACCTGGACCACTTAGTCTTCAGTGTTTCACAGGGCACTCAAAATCTCAGCCTGTGCCTCCTCCCCAGTAGCCAGTGCCCCGTAGCCCCCCAGCCCTGCTCAGCTCCAAGACTTTCCTTAGTCTTTCTTGGCTGGTCTGGGGATCGATGACTGGATGATTATACAAGTATTTATTTATTTAACTTTAATGTTCCTTTTTTTTTTTTTAACTTGATCAGCAGCTGTTTTCATAAAAAAAAAAAAAAAAACCAATAGTCATAGTTTCACAGTTGAAAAATTACACATTAAAATATTTTACAATTCATTATATATTCACCAGGTTCCCATTTCCTAATGGGCTGGTAATATAAAGCATAATAGAAGGGAAAACCTCAGAGTTGATTTACTTGACACTGAATTTTACAGGACACTAAGAACCACAGAAAGCTTAGGTTCTATCAGAAAATAGCAACCAAATTCCATTCAACTTTAATGTTCTTGATATTCAAAAGCATAATGTTCTTGAAAGCCAGTCGCCCTATAGAGTTCTCCCTCTCTTAAAGCACTCATTACTTCACGTACTCTGCCTGTAATCCCTTCCCCCACCTCAATCAGGAGCTTCTTGTCCCTAGTCTGCAGCCCCCAGCAACACTCCCAGGTTCCCTCTTTGACAGCCAGCAGCTGGCAATGTCATGGCCCCAAGGGCTTACCTTGGTAACAGAGTCATTGACATTGATGGCGGGCACCTTCAGAACCCCATTAGCCATCATCTTGTAGAGGTTGTGGACCCCAGTCGTGGTCTCCTCAGAGATGCCCCTGATGCCTGAAAGGAGAAGGGATGAGCCACAGAAAGGCCACACCTGAACTCATCCCAGTTCCTCATCTTCACCCCCTAACATCCCACTCTCTAGGTTCCTGCTTCCACAACAGACACCACAATCTACCGAATCCCCTAGACCAGCGTAAGGAAAGAGACCCTAATGCCCTTCACAGGGAATCCATTGCCAGGCCTCCAGATCCCACTGAATCTGCTCCTCCACTCTCACTGCTGTTGCTGCCATCTCTCACCTGGTCTGCCAACCACAGCCCATCCTCCCTGCAACAGCTGCACATTTTTATTTTCAAAACCCTCCCATGACTTACTGCCATTATGACTGACCGCCCTTTGCTCTCAGGATCCTTTAGCTGCCTAGGGTTCATGTGGCCTTCAGTAAAGCTCCAACCACATCCTACAGCGTTCCCCAGGGAAGGCTCCCAACATTCAGTGCAGCCACACTGGCTTCATTTTAATTCCTGTGCAGTCAATCCTTGCTGCCGCAGGGCTTTCGCACTCTTTGTACCCACTCTTCTCGCCTCTCCTCCCTGCTTTCAACAAAGCTGGCTTCTCCACAGTTATTCCCAGTCCCCGCCCTATGGCTGCCTGTGGCAAGCAGCTCAGTCAGGCCTCCCCCATCGGAAGTCAGGAGGCCAAGCCACAGCATGCCTGCCGGAACCTCCACAAAATCTCCTGCTGAAGGCACTGGGAGTGCTGCCAGGCCTACTGCCTTTGTGTGGGTGTGCAGGGCCACATCCAGGCCTCCAGTCCCAGCCTTGCTCACCTGACAGGAGATGGGGGTACTTGGTGTGGATAAGGTTGGTAAGGTCGCCACCATCGTCCAGGATCATGTTGAGGGGCCCATCCTTAAAGTAGAGTGTCTGCTCAATGCACCACAGGTACTCCTCGTCTGTTTCACCCTTCCAGGCGTACACTAAAGAGCAAGCAGAACATCAGGCCTGTCCTTCCCTACCAGCACCTCCTCCAGAGAGCTACCTGGGCAGAGCCAACACTGTCTCCTCCCTAGTAGCCATCCCCAGCCACCTCCAGCCCCTCTGAGGACTCAGCAGTGCTAAGAACAGATAGAATCAGATAGAGCTCTGTCCCTCACCAGATTTGTGACCAGTCACTTTACCTCTCTGAGTCCTGGCTTTCTCTGGGCTCACAAGAGCATGAATTAAGGTGGGACAGAGGCCAAGCGCAGCCCCCTTGTCATAGGTAATTGTGAAAATAATTACTTCCTTTCTGCCTGGGCCCCAAGGACTAGGGCATCAACCCACAGTGACCAGGGCTTCTACCCACAAAGCCTACTGCTCAGTAGTACCAAACAGAATCCAGGGTTTGTTCAACAGGAAGGCCTTGAAGGCTCGGCAGTGTCTGTGGTGGTTAGCCTAAGGCAGAATCTGGCTCAGGGATTACTAACAGCAGCTGCTGTGCATGCAGCACATTACTCTGCTTTGTGCCCTGTTTCAGTTTGTCTCATAGAAACTCTGAGGCGGGCATGACCATTATGACCACTCGCAGATGTCTAGAGAGGCCGGAATGTGCCAGTCACTTAGCATAGCATTCTGAGCAGATCCTGGAACCAGACTGCTTCAGGCTGCTAGCCATACTCCTCCCATCAGAGGGCAAGACTGGGGTGCAGGTGTGGGGTTCCCAGGAGCCTCCTGCAGCCAAAGACACCAGCCAAACAGAGAAGCTAGCCCTTCACCCAACCAAGAACAGACGATGGTCTTGAAAACAGAGCTGTTCCCAGAAGAGGGACATGGAGCCCAGCCAAAGCTGAGGGGTAGAGGACACGCCTGTTCAGCCTGTGAGCAAGTCCTCCTCTGCCCTGGAGATGCCTAGAGGGTATCCTGAATGTCCTATTTCATCACCATCACATCTAACCACTTCCCTCCCTAAGCTCACACAAACATGAACCCATTTTTCCTGCTGCTTTGTGCAAAAAACCCTTCCTCTTTAGGAAGGTAGTCTGGCTGCTCAGACCACCAAATCCTAGGCAGTAGACCTCTGGACCCAGTGTCCCTCCCAAGGTCTTCGCACGTTCTTCCTTTAAAGAATGTCCCCTCCTCTGTACCTTATATATCACAGGATCCTACCCTTCCTGGTAGCATGGCTCAATGGCTCATGTTGAGTCAACAAGTATCTTCCACACCTTGTCAGATGACAGTGAGATACAGACATCTTTCCTAACAGTCCCTAGACTAGGATTCTGAGGCCGTGCCTCCCCTCTGCTGCAGGTATTCGCAAAGCAAACAGAAAAAATCCCTTCATGCTTTCCCATGTCTAAGCAGCAAGCAAGGCTCACCTGGAATGCCAGCCTTGGCAATGGCAGCAGCTGCATGGTCCTGGGTGGAAAAGATGTTGCAGCTAGACCACTGTACCTAGAAGGAGCAGATAAACAGGGCAGCAGGTCACTGAAGGCTTGGAGGCACCAGGGTGAACTTGACAGGGGGAGGGGAAAGCCTGGGATGAGAAGCTTGGGACCTAGGCCAGCCAGGTCTGCAACCACAGAGTGGAGACTCTGGGTGAGTGTCTGGAAGCCAGAGTTGTGACAAGATCTGACAACTGTTAAAACATCATCACTCTAATGGGTGCATGGAACAGAAAGGGCTGGAGTAAGGAAAAAATTGCAGAAGCAATTATAGTGAGCCCAGACAAAAGGTACAGAGGTGGCAGTGGAGGAGAGAGAGACTCAGATCCTGTTATGTATTAGAACACTGAGCTGACAGAATTTGCTGTGGCTTTTGATGTCAGGGTGAGAAAGAGAAGTTTGGGATAATCCCTTGATGCTTGAACTGAGGGCCTGAGAGCCTGAATTTCCCATTTACCAATGTGGGGGATAGAGAGAAGCACAAAATCATGGGTTTCCTTGGACATATTGAGCTTGAATTATGTTCTAGGCCTCTAGGTGGAGGCCTCCAGCACCAGCAGCTGGAATAATAAAGGTGGAACGCCAGGGAGAAGTCCAGGCTGGTATTGCACAGATTTAGAGCTCATCATCACACACACAGTATTCAAAGCCATAAAATCAGACTAAGAGAGGGACAGTTCAAAAGAAAGACGAGATCCAAGGACTGAACCATGCAGCAGTCTCAGCGACCTCCTTGCTCTCTGGCAGAGATACCTGTCAGTCATTGGTATACATGGGCTGAGCTGAGCCAATCAAGGTGCTTCATTTTCTGGCAGCCATGCTCGGTCCAAGGCACGTGACCTTAGGAGGGCCAACTAGAGCCAGCCCCTAAATGGGACACAGACTATTCAAAGGGTGGAAGCACTGGGAGAAATAACTCCAGTGACAGGGAGGAGCTCCTGCTGGTCCTGAGGTCACCATGCCCCATACCCACACATTCTTCCTTAGATGAACCTGGAGGAGGCAGGGGACTCGCCCGCAAGCACACGGCTGTGAGCTCACCTCAGCACCCAGGGCAACAAGGGTCTCAATGAGGACAGCAGTCTCCACGGTCATGTGCAAGCAGCCAGCGATGCGGGCGCCCTTCAGTGGTTTGGATGCCGAGTACATCTCCCGCATGTGCATCAGGCCTGGCATCTCGTTCTCAGCAATGTCCAGGGCCTTGCGTCCCCATGCAGCCAGGCCGATGTCCGCTGTGGGCACAAGATGGGAGGGAGTTCTGTGAGCTGTCTCCTCCTACTGTTACTGTGAGAGGAACAGGTTCATGTTTGTAAGTTCAACCCAGTCTTGTCACTGCATTCTCTCACTCATGCACAAAGTCAGGACAATCAGAAAAGAATGGTCCCTGCCTGCCTGCAGCTTGTAGCCTTGTGGGAGACCACATTTAATCAAAGGAATGTGCAGGTACTTGAAAATCGCCACACACACAAAAACAGCTGACTATACCTGCCCTATTCTTCCAACTGATGCCTCCTCACTTCCCAGACTGTAGATCCTGGCCCTCCAGCTTCCTCCCCAAGGCATTCATCTTGGTGATTCAACATTCATAAACAGTATCCAAACACCCTGGGCTTGATGCAGTTCCTTGATCTAGCTGAAAATGTAAAATAAATGCTTCTCCCACACTCTTTCTACATGACGAAAACTCAGTACATTTAACACTCTTGACAACTTTGCCCCAAGGGATCAGGACTGGTTTGTGTAATAAGTAATCTAAGACAATAAAACCAGGCATGCTCAGAACCGTTCTCCCATCTTCTGCAAGCAAGTGCCTACCTGCCCCATGCAGGGAGCCAGTGTTCTCTGCTTTCCCATGCAGAGACCTATCCAGAGACCTCCCCATGCCTTGCCTAGCTCAAAGAGGGGATCAGGCATCACTTGGCTTTTATAGTAACCTACACCCTCTGGACTCAGTGCTAGCATCAATAAAAGGTCTGTTCTGACTTCAACTGCTGTCCCAAATTCTCAAGCAGGAAAGGATATTATGAGCTGTCTCATTATCTCACAGTATTCTTCCCTCTCATCTCCCCTTCCTTCTGCTGTACCAGCTCATTCCCAAGATCAGTCCCTAGGTCAGTGTTTACAAAGTTCTCTGAAAATAGGAAGATAGAGAATTCAGAACTATGCTACTTTTCCTCTATGGCATCTGCTAGCGCTCCTCATCGGTAGCCACCAGACAGGGCATTCATTCCTTTGTCACAGCAGATAAGATGTCCTTGCTCCTGCCTTCTCATGTCCCCGTGGACCTCACTGCTCAAAAGCAAAATAGCCATCCTCCAGCTATGCGAAGACCAGCCGGGTCCCCACAATTGGATGATCAGTTACCATGTTCATGTTTCTCCCAGAAACACTGACCCTACCAGTGGATCCTTTCTGAAAAGCCTCTCTGTTCCTAGTGCCAAGGACTGGCCTCCTATGTTCTTCTTCCTCTCTTCCTTGCTCCTCTTCACCTAGCAGACCCTAATGTTTGAAAGTCTTTGGGTCTCCATCACCTCCTTCTCACACTCCTGCCAGATGAGCTCATCTAGCCTCAAGGCATTAAATACCTTCTCTATAACAACTCCTACGCATTTGTATGCACCCCAGCTTCTCCCCTAAACTTAATACTGTCTAAGCCAACTGCCCATTCAGCATCTCCACTTGAAAGTCCAATTAGATCTATTAGGTGCCAAGTTTGAGGCCTCATGACTCATTGGCCACTCCACCCCTGCCTGTTACTTGTCAAATCTTCCCATTTTAGGAAACGAAACCACTATTCAACCAGTTGTTTTTGTCAAAAACTATAAGACTTTATGATTCCTCTTTTCAATGCCAACAGCTCATTTAAAAATATATATTTGTATTGGAAAGGCAGATCAGTTTTTTTTTTTAAGATTTCTTTTTATTGGAAAGTTAGATATACAGAGAGGAGGAGAGACAGAAGATCTTCTGTCTACTGGTTCACTCCTTAAGTGGCTGCAACGGCCAGAGCTTAGCCAATCTGAATCCAAGAGCCAGGAGCTTTTTCCAGTCTCCCAAGTAGGTGCAGGGTCCCAAGGTTTTGGGCCATTGTCTACTGCTTTCCCAGGCCACAAGCAGAAAGCTGGATGAGAAACAGGTCTGCCAGGACATGAACCAGCAGCACCCATATGAGATCCTGGCACATGCAAGGTGAGGACTTCAGCCACTAGGCCACCATGCTGGGTCCACTGATCAGATTTAGAGAAGGAGAGACAGAGAGATTTTCCATCTTCTGGTTCATTCCCCAAGTGGTCACAACAGCTAGAGCTGAGTCAGTGTTAAGCTAGAAGCCACGGTGTTTCTTTTGAGTCTTTGACCCAGGTACAGGATCCCAAGGCTTTGGGCCATCCTCAGCTGCTTTCCTAGGGATCTGGATGGGATAGAGCAGCTGAGACATGAACCAACACCCATATGGAATCCGGGCACTTGCAAGGTGAGGATTTAGCCAGTGAACCATCACACTGTGCCCCATCAGCACATTTTTGACTCAACATCCAAAATTTGTAAGCAATCCAGCTGTAACTCGCCACCTCCCCTAAGTTGCCACTTTTCAGTATGAAAGCAACTCTTCCCTGGTCTCCTGCCCCCACACACCACACTCCTGACAGTAGCCAGAGGGAAGCTTTTGAACCTTTAAGATACTAGTATTACTGAGAAAATTTCAGATTATTAGTGTTCCTATTAAGAATCAGTTCTCTTCTGCTAAATTAATCAAATAAACAAAACAAAAACCCTCCATGGCTTCCTCTACCCCATAAAACCCTAATTCAGACCCAGTATGGTGGCTAAATTGGCTAATCCTCCCCCTTCAAGTCCCTGCATCCCATATGGGTGCTAGTTCATGTTCCACCTGCTCCACTTCCCATCCAGCTCCCTGCTTATGGCCTGGGAAAGCAACAGAAGGTGTCCCAAAGCCACACCTAACTCCCATGGGCCTCTCCCTCTCCCATGTGGGAGACCTGGAAGAAGCTCCTGGCTCTTGGCTGCAAATCTGCTCAGCTCCAGCCATTGTAACCACTTGGGGAGTGAACCAGTGGATGGAAGATCTGTCTGTCCCTCTCTCTTAAATCTTTCCAATCAAAATAAAGATATCTTTAAAAACAAAATAGAAAACCTAATTCATCACTTGCCCTTCAATCCCTTTTGGTTAGCCCTGTCCCTGAGCTTCTCCCCTCACTCTTTGTTCAGCTAATCAAACTTCCTGTCTTTAGCAAAGCAAACTCATTTTCACCTCAGAAATTTAATTTACCCAGTTCTTAGCCTGGAAGGCTCTTCCCTAAGTACCTGATTCAGTACCTAGCACAAAGTATGTGTTCAAAAATCCCTAGAAACAGGAAATAAATTGTTCTATTCATGCTGGAGGGGCAGAGAGCTGGCCAGGGTGACTCAAAGAGAGGGGATTAAGGTAGTTGAGTACTTTACTCTGAGTGAGGCAGGAAGCCAAGTTTTAAAGGGGCAATCGGGGAAGACACTGTGGGACTGCCAGTTAAGCCACAACTCTGCTCCACTTACTGCCCAGCTTTCTGCAAACGCGCTGGGAGGCAGCACATGACTCAGGTGCCCAAGTTCACTGCACCCGAGTCAGAGACCAGGAAGTCCTTCCCTCCCGGCTTTGGCCTGGTCCAGTCTGGCAGTTGTAGTCATTTGGAGAGCAAGTCAGCTGGAAGATCTCAATCACATCCTCCCTCTGACACTCTTTCAATAAAAATGCTGCTTGAGAAGACTACCCCCAATAGCGTACACACACACACAGACACACACACATACACACACACACAGAGGCTTTAGCTTTCATCTAAGAAACAAGAAATCCAGGAACATCTTTAAGGAAGGAGATTGGAACTGAGTGGTAGACAACATTATTTGTCTGTATACCTTTTCCATTCATGTCCTGCGGTTACCTTTAGGGCCTGGCACACAGGACTAACAAATGTGTACTGACCATCTGGGCATCTGCATAGTAGATCTCAATGAAAAGAAAGTTCATGAAAGGGACTGGCACGCAGCACAGATGGCAGAAAACAAATCTGAACCTACCCTAACTCCTAGCATTTTCCAGTGAGGAAAGGGCCACAGGAGGGTCTGCCCCAGGTTCCACAGCCGGTCGGTAGAAGAGGAGGAACTGGTAGCCAGCCAGCCCAGAGCCGAGGTCAGTCCCAAGACCACCCCCATAGGGGACCCCAGCTGCAGGAGACAGCAGGATACAGTTTGTTCTGGGAAGCTCCACCCCTTCTTTTTTTTTTAATTATTTCTTTTTCTTTTTTTTTTAAGTTAATTAACATGGTACTGAGTGACCAACATGTTAGAAAATGCAAGTTCTTAACCACATCCTGTAACTACTTCCTTGACATCTCAATTTTAGTATATACACAACCAGCTGCTATAAACAGTTTCTTTTTCTCCCAAGCTAACATGTTTTTCAGTTTAACCTAAATCAGAGTGGCACAGGAACAGTGGAAGCATCAACATTAACATCACATATGTAACAGCTGAGTACAAACAACATCGAAGTTTCTATACTGTTATATCTTGTTTAGCATTAACAGTCGTAAATTGATAGTTTTTTTGCGGGGAAGAAAAGTCACAATTTAAACTTTGCAGTATATAGTGATTGGGCATGATTTTACAGCACTTTTCATTTTAACAGTTGAAGAACAGTAAAGTTCTACCAACACCTGTCCCTCCAGCTAAAAACAGCTTCCAATGCCCTCCAGGCAACTGTGCCAGCTTGAGTTTGCTGTGAGGCGCTTACACCCAAGGGGGCAAGATGGGGGGTTTTCAGTTCCCAGGGAGGAAAGGACTTAGAGAAGTCACAGGAACACTTGTCCCAGGACAAGCCAGCAGAGCCCCAAGGTGCTCTCTGCACCTCAATGAAGTCATCATCCCAGACCTTGCGGTGAGCTCAGGAGTAAACATGCCACTCACAGGACATGGTCTGTCACACAAAAAGACCTCCTTCCCTCACCTCAGCCAAGCTCCCTCACCTCCACCTGCAGCCTCACCTCTGCTGCTCCTACCCCTCACCTTCCAATTCCTCCCCACACCCAGACATGTCCCCTTTCCAGCTCTGCCACAGTATGACCTTAACCTAACCTTCCTGAGCTTCGGTTTCATCATCCACAACGGGTGAACTCGTGTTTCAACAGAACATCTTCATGTTGTTTCCCCTCAGGACCACAGTTTCTTCTTCTTCGGTATCACAGGTGACTACCCACTTTCTATAAAGATCTTTATTAAAGATGTATCTATTTGATAGGCAGAGAGACAGAGAGAGCTTCCTTCCACTGGTTCACTCCCCAAAAGGCTGCAACAGCCTGAGCTGAGCTGGGTCTGAAGCCAGGAGCCCAAAGCCTCTTCAGGGTCTCTTGTGGGGGGCAGCACTTGGGCCATTCTCACTGCTTTCCCAACTGAGATTCAAACCACCAGCCATATAGGATGCTGACATCACAGGGAGCAGCTCTACCCACTATGCCGTGGCGTATTCACCAATGAGACTTCAAAACCTCATGGAGGGCCCGGTGCGATGGCGCAGTGGTTAAGGTCCTCGCCTTGCACGCCCAGGATACCATATGGTCTCCGGTTCTAATCCCAGCAGCCCCGCTTCCCATCCAGCTCCCTGCATGTGGCCTGGGAAAGCAGTCGAGGACGGCCCAAAGCTTTGGGACCCTGCACCCGTGTGGGAAACCCAGAGGAGACTCCTGGCTTCAGATCGGCATAGCATTGACCATTGCGCTCACTTGGGGAATGAATCATCGGACAGAAGATCTCCACTCTGTATATCCGCCTTTCCAATAAAAATAAAATAAATCTTAAAAAAAAAAAACCTCATGGAAAAACTGAATGAAAATAAGTTTATTTTGGTGCAAAAACTTCTGAAATTCCTGCGTTAAGTGCTCTTAACACACAGGGAATACTTAAAGATAACTAGATGGCAGGGGTTCGAATCTTGCTCCACTACCTCCAGCTGCAAGATTGTAAGCCAGTTACTTTCGTGTCCCAGAATTCCACTGTAAAATCCCCACCACCGGAAACTCTGAAAGCAAAATGAGTTATCCCAGAATAAAGTTAGAAGGTAGTACACCGTTTCACAATAAATGCTCCAATAAACCTTTACCGTCTGATTTTTCTAATCACTGAAGATTTTCTTCGAGATTCCCAGCACACCTGTGGCTGTAGCCCAGCTGGCTGACACCCTCTCGCCACCACACACACTCAGAGACTGAGCCACCCCCAAGTTAAGGTACGAGAACCCCAGCCCGCCCCACCACCGATGCACACTCCGCGGCTCCAGTGCCATGCAGGAGGCCTGCAGAGGGATGGGCCTTTGTCCTGGGACCGGCCAGGTCCAGGAGGCTGGATCCCAGCCCGGAGCGCACTCTCACAGGTGCCCACGGTCCCAGGCCGCGGCCAGGTGCACTCGCGCCGCCTGCCCCGCAGGCTCCGGGAGAACACGCCGCCAGTTCGCCACAGCACAGCCCGCGCGGAGGAAGTGGGCGCCGCGCAGCACGCCGGGACTTGTAGTCCGCGGCCGCCTGAGACGACACTCTCGCCGCGGCGTGAGAACTCCAACCCCCAGATGGCCCCGCGCGGCCAGGAATGCGCCGAGCCTGCGATTTTGAGGGGTCCCGGACACCTCTGGGTTGGCCCCCCCGAGGCCGACACGCACAACAAGCAGCAGGCTGGCCCTGTTAAGTCGCCACCCTCAAGACTCCCCAGGCGGCGTGAGGTAACGGCGGCGGCTGACTACTCGTCCTGGAACTCACCGACTTTGTAGGGCAGTTTGTCGGACATTTTGGCGGCGCTGCTGCACGCAGTGATGGGCACGGGCGGAAGGGTGGGGTCTCGAGCAGGACTCGGGGTCCGGGATGGCGGTAGGGATCTGCGCGTGGCGCCGGCGCCTTAAATCGCTCGCGCGCTTTGCATATTCATGAGCCCCGCTGGGGGCGGGGCGCAACGTGCGGGGGGCGGGGCCGGAACGGACTTGGATCCCTGCTGTCTGTGGCCGACGTGTGGCAAGGTTCCCCCAGAGGCACTGACTTTCATTCATTCATTCATTTCCCCCCAAGCGACTCCAACGTTAAGATCAAGAGAAGCTCAACTTGCAGCCAATTCACTTCAACGTCTTCATCTGCGGTATGGCAAGTGCATAATGCATCCCAAATCTTTTCCCACGTAGTCACCACCCCAAATGTTATAACACATTTGCTTGCATTTCTTTACACGTGGAGGTGAGGTAAACAGTTTATATAGAACGATGTACTCAACACCTATATGTGTGACGTCCCCAACACACTTGCCCTCCCACTCCTTGGGTTTCCCGGGGACCATGATGTCGCTCAGGGCCACGCAGGTGGTTTGGGTATGTTTGTGTTTGCTGCCTAGAGCGCTTCCCTGTATATACAGACTATGATTTATTTATTGCATTTGGCTGAAAGTCAGGTGGAATGTGCTTTGCTGTTGCAAGATAAAACAGTGAACATTTGCTGTACTTGGGAGTCTCATGAGTGCGTTTCTCTGTGACATAGTATGCCCAAGGGGTGGAGTTCTTGGATTGGTGAGGGTGCGTTCTTAGCCATCCAAGGTGCGTTCTTAGCCATCCAAGGTGGCTTTGTCTCCTGTGGTCCCAATGGTAGTGCCCGAGTGCCCTATAGTCCACATCTCTGTAGCACTTGTCATTGAATGACACCATTTTGTTGAACCCATGAATGGAAAGATGTCTCTCAGTGATTTTTAGTTGGCCGCTTGAAGACCTTTCTACTTTCACTCCCATGTCCACTTTCCCTGCCTTGACCCACACCCGCCCATCTGCTTCCTCCCCTTGTCCAGTTTCTGTTCCCACACATTCTGAGTGTGTGCATTTTCTCATCTCCAGGGTGGTCCACAGCAGGGTAGGGCCCACCGCCCCCCAGTTCTCCACTGGAATTGCTCCAGCCAACCTGGCTGAGTCTGAGCAACCTGCCTCCCTGGTCACTTGGCTTCCTCTTTCCCCTCTGGCTTCCCAGTGACCTTTCAGCAGCTTCACCTTCCTCCTGCTTCATCCTTCAGGAGTTAAGCGTCCTTTTTCCTCTTGCTCTGCTCCTGGTTCCTGAGCCCTCTCACTCTTACTGCTTCTGTGACCACACATTTACGGATGGTCCATGTGTTAATGGAGTGAAACAGTGCGTTGTCCTGGAAGTCACCTGTTTCTTCCCCTCCCCATCCTCCTTCTGCTGTTCACCCCTCCCGCCCTTCCTTCCCCTTCTCCCCCCACTTTCTTTTTTTAAAATTTATTTGGGAAAAGGAGAGACAGAGAGAGTCCATATCTAATCTACTCCTCAAATGCCTGCAGCAGCTCAGATTGGGCTAGACCAGTGCTGGGAACTAGGAACCTGACCCAGTCTGCCCAGGTGGATGCCAGGAATCCAGCTACTTCAGCCGTCAGCTGGTGCTGCTTTGGGCCCACATTAACAGGAAGCTAAGTTGGGAGGGCAGCCTGGGGTGGAATCACCACTGTTACGGGACGCAGCTGTGCAACCACCAGGCCAAATGTCCGTACCTGATTCTTCCCGCTGCTGGAGTTACCACTACTGAGAATTTTGTCTGTAGTATTTCCTGTTTTTATATTTTTTAATGAATTGTACTATCTAAGTTTTATTTCAACTGTTTTTTGCCTTTGTATGAGTGGAACTTACACAATATAAATTCTGCAACTTGTTTTCCTCTGTCAAGACTGATTTTGAGGGCCCAGCACAGTAGCCTAGTGGCTAAAGTCCTCGCCTTGCATACGCCAGGATCACGTATGGGTGTTGGTTCATGTCCTAGTTGCTCCACTTCCCCTCCTGCTTCCTGCTTGTGGCCTGGGAAAGCAGTCAAGGATGGCCCAAAGCCTTGGGACCCTGCGCCTGCCATGGGAGACCTGGGAAAAGCTCCTGGATCCTGGCTTCAGATCGGCATAGCATCGGCCGTTGCGCTCACTTGGGGAGTGAATCATCGAACAGAAGATCTTCCTTTCTGTCTCTCCTCCTCTCTGTATATCTGACTTTCCAATAAAAAAATAAATAAATCTTAAAAAAGAAGAAAGATTGTGGATTATCTTTTACTTCCAGTTTTCCATTTGAGAGACAAACTGAGTGCACAGTGCTCGCCGCCGCTTCGCTCCCCGCCTCCTGCAGCGCACAGGGCCGTGGGAGGCTAGGACCATGGCAGGAAGCTGAGAACACAATCCAACACTCAGGCATGAGTGACAGCGATCTGCCACCGCCTCACAGGTCTGCATGAGCAGGAAGCTGAAGTCAGAGCCGGGGAACAAACTCGCACCCTGCAGTGTGGGACACAGGCATCTCAACCACTGGGCCAAACACCTGCCTCTCCATGAACTTTGTAAACCCTCTCATGCAGAGATGTACCGGATGTACGCGTCTGATTGCTCTATCATAGAACATAGACCTGTTCTACGCAAGCAGGCGGTACAATACCTTCCCCAGGTAGCTGTGCCTACACTCCCATCAGCAGTGCATAGAATTATTTTCTCTTCTAGCTAGCACTTCCTATTACTAAATTTTTATTTATTGCTCCGGTGTGAAATGGCCCCCTGACTATTGAAGAGGTTGAACATCAATCCATATGTGAGAATCCATCTGAGTGTTTCCCTGGAAAAGTTCTATCCATATCTTTTCCCATTTAAAAATAAGTGATTTTTTTTTTCATTTTTAATTAATAGCAGTTCTTTTCCTTCCTCCCTCCCTTTTCTTTTTCTTTTTTCTTTCTTTTTTTCTTCTTAAAGATTTATTTAGTTTTATTAGAAAGGCAGATACAAAGGAGAGAAAGATCTTCCATCTGCTGGTTCACTGCCCGAGTAACTGCAATGGCTGAAGCCAGGAGCCAGGAACCTCCTCCAGGTCTCCCACACAGGTGCAGGGTTCCAAGTCCTTGGGCCGTCCTCAATTGCCTTCCCAGACCATAAGCAGGGAGCTGGACTGGGATTAGAACCGGCACCCATATGGGATCCGGGTGCGTTTAAGCTAAGGACTTTAGCCACTAGGCCACTGCACCTGACCCAGCATAGTTCTCTAGGAGCATCCAGGTTGCTTCATTTACCAACTGTTTATCTCTTTTTATTGCTGAATTATAGCATTTCATTATATGAATACACCAATTATTAAAAGACACAAAGGTTGTTTCTTTTTCAGATAAAGTTACCATAAATATTAGTGTACACTTTTTTATGTGAACATCAGCTTTTTTTTTAAAGATTTATTTTTATTATTTTTTATTGGAAAGGAGGATATACAGAGAGGAGAGACAGAGAGGAAGATCTTCCGTCCGATGATTCACTCCCCAAGTGAGCACAACGGGCCGATGCTATGCCGATCCGAAGCCAGGAGCCTCTTCCGGGTCTCCCACACGGGTGCAGGGTCCCAAAGCTTTGGGCTGTCCTCGACTGCTTTCCCAGGCCACAGGCAGGGAGCTGGAAGGGAAACGGGGCTGCCGGGATAGAACCGGCGCCCATATGGGATCCCAGGTGTGCAAGGCGAGGACCTTAACCACTGCGCCACCGCGCCAGGCCAGAACGTCAGCTTTTTAAGGAATAAATGCTTAGGGGTGCAGTTGCCTGAGAATATTTAGTTATATAAGAACAAACCACCAAACTGCTTTGCAAAAAGTCTGTGTCATTTTGTTTGCCCCGCTCTCCCTGCAGCGACGTGTGAGAGATTCAGTGTCTCTGCATCTTTGGCAGCATTTGGTGTTTGCATTTGTTGGTATTAAGACTACTCAGGTAGATTGTGTTTTTAATTTTCATTATCCTGCTGGGCTATCTTGGCAAGTACCCTTTCATCTGTGTGCTTGACATTTGTGTTGTGTTGTGTCATGGTCAGATGTCTGTTTGACTTTACCATATATGTGAGTTAGTAAACAGTTTCCTTCACTCATGTTTTTATCCTCTGAGCAAGGTCTTTCACAGAGCAAATTTTTGAACTTTGGTATATTACCAGTTTATTAGCTTTTATTTTAATAGATCACGCTTTTGGTGTCACATCTAAGAACACTGTCTAGTCTTAGATCTCAAAGATTCTATCCTGTGATGTTTGTGAAAAGTTTTATGGTTTTATTTTTTTACATTGAGGTCCAGGGTCCATTTTGAGTTAATCTTTGTATAAAGTGTACAGTTTAGTTTGAGGTTCTTTTTTTTTTTTTCACTTGTGTGTGTTCAGCTGTTCCGGCACTGTTTGTTAAAAAGATTATCTTTCTTCTTTGCCACATCTACTGTGAGAATGAAGACCATTCTCAACAGTCAGACTGTCGACATTCCAGAAAATGTGGGCATTTCAGTCTGAAGGGGCGCACGGTGACTGTGAAGGGGCCCAGAGGAACCCTGCGAAGGGGCTTCAGTCACATCAGGGTGGAACTCAACCTCCTGGGGAATGAGAGACTGCGAGTTGACGCATGGTGGGAAATCCCAAGGAACTGGCCACTGCTTGCACCCTGTGTAGTCACGTCCAGAATATGATGAAGGGACTATATGTTGTATGTATATAGTGTATGTTCTTTGAGCACTGGAGACGCACGTGTGTTCTGCTGTTTGGGGAGAGGATATCCTTCCTTTGTAAGATGCTGGTGCGGGTGGTGTCAGTTGGTGATGTTGAGTTCTATGTCCTTTGTTGATTTTTATCCCCAGTTGCACCATTGATGTTGAGAAGGGTACAGAAGTTTCCAGGTAAAATTGTGGATTTGACTGTTTCTCCTTTCTAATCAGTTGATTTACACTTCGCGAGTTTTGCAACTCTATTGGGTTTTAGTGGACAGAACCTTCCAACGTTAATATGATGGACAGGAGGCAATGCAAGCAACACAGGGGGGAATGGGCTGCGGGGTAGGGATTAAAGTTCAGGTTCCCTACATGAT